TGTCCATTGAAGGAACTGCCTCTTTGGAAGTCAACGTTTGAAGACCCTGAAGCATGTAAAACCATTGTTCTCGGGATTCCAACGCCACGGATCAACCTGACTGTTGCGTTTTGACAATTATGAATCGGGCTAGAGCGCCATTCTTGGGACTCCAGCGCAGCAAGTCAAAATACTTGTTGCACCTGCATAGTCCTGAATCCCTTCAAAACACCATTTCTGACACGTTGATGATGGGAATCCGTGAAACTCTTGAAGATTTCTAAAACGAATGTGCGCCGCGCGCTAAGGCGAGAGCCACATTTTGAAAAGGAGCCGCCCTCAATCAGTGAAGCTCTCGCAAATTTCTAGGACACGTGCGAGAGCTTAATTTTGAAAACCACCCGCCCTCAATCCGTGAAGCTTCTGCAGTCTTTTAAAACGAATGTGCGCCGCGCTAAGGCGATAATCACATTTTGAAAACGACCCGCCCTCAGTCCGTGAAGCTCTTGCAAATTTGAAGAATGAATGTGCGCCGCGCTAGGACGAGAGCCACATTGTGGAAAGGAACCGCCTTTAATCCGTCAAGCTCTTGCAAATTTTGAAAAGAAAGTGCGCCGCGCTACGGCGAGAGCCACATTTTGAAAACGACCCGCCCTCCATCAGTGAAACTACCTCATTTTTTAAAGCTCAGAGTCATACGTGGTGTGGAAGTCCGGCCCGTCCTAAATACTCGACTCGGGGTGCGACAGGGGAAAGTTATCTATAAGGAGAAGGAATGGAGGAGGAAGAGGAGGAGGAGGGAGGAGGAGGAAGAGGAGCAGGAGGAGGAGGAGGAAGAGGAGCAGGAGCAGGAGGAGGAGGAGGGGGAGGAGGGGGAGGAGGAGGGGGGAGGAGGGGAGGGAGGAGGAAGGGGGAATGTGAAGGGGAAGGGAAGGGAAGGGGAAGGGAAGGGGAAGGGGAATGGGGGAGAGGAAGGGGAAGGAGAAGGGGAAGGGGAGAAGTGAGCGAGGGAAGGGAGGAGATTGAGGAGGGAGGAGGGAGGGAGGAGGGAGGAGGGAGGAGGGAAGGAGGGAGTGGGAAGAGGGAGGGCGAGGAGGAAGGAGGCAGGGAGGGAACCGGGAGGGGAGGGGGAGGGAGAGGAGGGCGGTATGGTGGACCACGGATGAGGGCACGGTGCAGCGAACGCCCCCACGCGCGCCCTCGCGCCCCCGCGCCCCTGCGCGCGCGCGCGCGGGGCCGCCCCGATGAGCCTCTCCTCGGCCGCGCTCGCCGCGGCCGAGGCGGCCGCTGTGGAGGCGCTGGCCCGCTCGGCGGCCGAGGCCTGCCGCCGTCGCCCGCCGCTGGTGGCTCGCCGCCGCCGCCGCCGCTGCTGCCGCCTCCGCCTCCGCCGCCGCCGCCGCCGGAGGAGGAGGAGGAGGAATGGAGGAGGAATGGAGGAGGAAGAGGAGGAGGAGGAGGAGGAGGAGGAGGAGGAGGAGGGAGGA